AGATCGCTGGGGTTGGGATTTAATTCCTAAACTTCTCCTATAAATTTTATTTCATTAATGGTTTGCCTCTGGCTGACTCCTGACTTTCTACTTTCTAAATTGATGTCCAACTGGGACTTAACTCTATTCTAGCTTTATTAAATTTGTAATATTTCAATTTATTCTCCTAGCTATCTACGCCTGTCCTCTGTGAGAACTCATTATATTCTGGCTTTTAGAATTCTGCCTGGAGTCTCCTGGAGTCTCGCGGCCTCGTCCTACTCCTAGACTTCCTCCTTCTTTTCGCACTTTTCGCATCGCCTATTTCTTAGGTTATTGCGCACGCGTCGATCGCCGTCGATTTCGCTCCCGCGCAAGCGCTCCCAATTCGCCCCGTTACAAACCCTACCGTAATCCAGCACTAGCGCAATCGAGACAGAAGACGAGGACGACAATGATCAACTACCACCGAATAGAAGCATGCTTCCCTCCTTATCCATGGAAAAAACCTTAGAAGATTCCTCGGAAGCCAATAGTACAACCCTTTCAAAAGCACCTAACCCAGACGTTACCCTCGAGGAAATAGACAAACCTCCGACAAATCAACATACCAAGCTAGACCCCCGAAAACCGTTCTCAACTAATCAGGGCCGGCCAATTATCGAAATCAGCTCTAATAATGAGACTTCCGACGAAGACAGTGACGCTTCACATGAAAACCCATCAGACCCCGAGATACCCGCTCGAGAATACGACGAATCCGGAATGGCCATCCCTACCCGAGAAAAACAAGAAGAAATGGAAACCGCAAAGGCTGTAAAAGAATTAACACTAGACGAAGCAAAAGAAAAATTAAAAGATTACTCCAAATATTTGAACACCTCCTGCTCAAAATTTTCAACCCCTAGCGCATCGAACCGACGGACTATCATAGCAGGAAATATTTCTCCAATTAACAAAAATACAGTGAGACCAAGGGTCTCCTTCGCACCAACCCCCGTACGGGAGAAGCCCCCTAAAGCCCAATCTACTCCCAGCCAGCCTAGCAAAGCATCCACGTTTTCAGAAGAAACGAAATCACCCCCACGAAAAATCTTGGCAAGCCTTCCGCCCCTTTCGGAACTCATTGACTCCCCCAGTGATTCTCAAAACTCATCCCCATGTAGAATCATCCTTAGCAATCTCACCCTCTTGGCAAAATCAAACAACTACACGCATTTCCTTTCAAGCGACGCGTGCTGCACCAACCCCGTTAATAAAACCCTAAAAGAAATGGAGTATATTAATGAAGAACGACTCCTTGAGGAAGGACTGCAGCCCGGCATGGTAGTCATTAGCAAAAGAGACCCTTACAGAATTTTCACCATAATTCACACGCATAATTATTACGACCACCGTACCGTCACAGATTAGCAAACCTCTCTAATTTCACTTAAGCGAGCAATGAGTCAAACTGACGTCACTTCCATTCGAATTCCGTTAAAAGACAACGGATTCGATCATATCCCCATAGAAACCCTTTAGAATACCATATTGGCCATTTTTAGAACTACTCCGATTGAAATCACCCTCTGCACCGGAACAATCGAAACACCCCCTCCGGAAATCAGAAATGAAATTAACCAGGAATATCACGATAGTCTCTCAGGTGGACACAAGGGCACCACGAAAACTTTCCACCGAGTTCAGGCTCGATTCCACTGGCCAAAAATGCACCGCGAAATTCAAGAATACGTTAACCACGTTGCCAAAAGCAAAAATTAGTTCGCATAAAAACCCGAGAACCAATGATTATAACAGACACGCCCACGGAACCCTTCGAGAAAATATCAATGGACACCGTAGGCCCTTTACCACCAACTCCATCCGGAAACCGACATATTCTCACCATACAAGATAATCTGACAAAATATTGTCTAGCCGTAGCAATACCTAACTTAAGGGCTACAACAATAGCTGACGCATTCGCACGTCACTTCATTACCCAATTCGGCACCCCTCGAGCTATTCTAACGGACCGAGGAAC